TAAGGAGATTAAAATGTATATAGTCCTAGCACCATACGAGTTAACACTGAAAACTCAACACAATGTGCAAGACTTGCAAGACCAACATACCAACATTAATATCAAGAAATCTACTGCATATCTGAACCACTACATTCTCTATAATAGTTATACCTGAATACCTCATCTCTCTATAGACACCAAAGCTATATTTTAAATGTAAACAAGAGCTAAATGTTTAAACAGAGCTAATTGAATGAACTGATTTTCTCGCGATGCACCGTTCCATCGAAACTGGGTTAGTATAAAACACCTCGTAACGCCGTTCATCTTTCATCACGCTCCTCACCATCTCTTCTTCTCTCTCTTTCATCACATATCGGCCTCAGTGACGATTCCGAAGAATCGCATCGCCACTCTCTCGTCAATCAACCCCCGCACGCCTCTGTTTTGTTCTCTTTCTCTCCACATCCACCCTCGCTCTGGAGTCGGTGACGTAAACGAGAGCAACGATGCGACGGACGCCAATGATAGAGCGGCCGGCACGGTGCCGGACAGCGGAGCCATCGGGCAGGTTCGTGCGGTGTTGTCGCTGTTGACGATTAGAAAGGAGATTTAAGGAATGTGAATCAGATCCTGCAAAATTATGAAAAATTTCGTTTAAAAGGTGATATATATATATATATATATATATATATATATATATATATATATATATATATATATATATATATATATATATATATATATATATATATATATATATATATATATATATATATATAAGCAGAAAGTAGTCTCGACTGACTAGTGAGAAAGAAAATCTAGGATTTAGTGGGGTTGCAGTCGGAAGGGTTTGACAAAGAATTAATACACTTTGTTAATTGTCAAGCTTTCGGAATTTATTTATTCCTTCCTCAGGACACTAAAATGGAAATACAAGTTAGACAATTGCTGTTATAAAAGTTAAGAATAAGACTTACTTAACGTGGTACAGAAAATACCTTCATAAAAACTACATTAAACATGGTTTGTGTTGATAACTCCACCGTGAAAGCATCGCTGACCAGTCAACCACAAGGACTCTTATAAGGCGGTTAAGCCGCCAAATATAAGTTAGAACATTAGAATAATTAAGAGATGTTAGAAATTTTTAAATTAAAGAATTTTTTGCGTCTCAATCCGAAGCGTGGAGGCGCAAAACAATTGACAGGCGACAACCGCGACATCCAAACGTCAAAAGTCAATTGTCAGAAGTCAAGTTAGTAAAAGTGATCTATGGATGTCGAACAAGGCTGTGGCATGTCCATCATTGTATTCATGTAAAAAACCAATGGTGTGGGTGGTCATGTAGAAAAGTGGAGTGATCAAGGCACAACACTAAAAAAACACTAATAAACATTAATAAAACACCCTTACTCGTGCACGAGAGCAAAAATATATATACATAATATATATATATATATATATATATATATATATATATATATATATATATATATATATATATATATATATATATATATATATATATATATATATATATATATATATATATATATATATATATATATATATATATATATATATATATTTATTATATTATATATATTTTTTTGAGTAATATGATCGAAATAAAATAGCGTCAGTGATGGCTATGAAATGAAGATCGTTGTCATTTTATATGTAAAATTATATGGTGAATGTGATTGATAGTCATTTCCAAGCCATCTGAACTCCGTTTTTTTTCCGATCATACGGTATATCATTTGACTACGAATGCCATTTAAAAAACCTTTTGACACTAATACCGGCAAAACATTTTTCAAAGTGATAACAAATTTACTTCGGCAGAATACCGGGTGCGTTTCAAAAGTGGCTCACCCCTATAACTTCTTTATTTTTTCAGATACAAAAACGAGATTTGGTATGTTAGTATATGACATAAATTAGGATTGATTGACGTATTCAACTGTTTTTGGACGCTTCCTGTTTCACCGGAATTGACGACAAATTTTGATTTTTAAACGTCACCCTCAGTATTCAACGGAACAAAGGTGGCTCATTAGCATATTTAGAAAAAGCATTTTTTACGAATAATTTGGTACCACACACTTGGTATTTCGAGTCAAATTGTCGTTTTGAACCGCATGTTATAATTTCAAATAAACTATCTGCGATAATGTCAAAAGTTGACATAATGCTATATCATTCTATTCAGAGTGTCATTTTCTATCGAATAAAGTAAAAAATACAAAGGGTGTCATTTAAAAATCAAAAGTTGAAGTCATTTCCGGTGAAACCGGAGGTGATTGAAAACAACTGAATATGTTAATCAATCCTAATTTATGTCATATACTAACATACCAAATTTGGTTTTTGTACCTAAAAAAATAAAAAAGTTATAGGGGTGAGCCACTTTTGAGACGCACCCGGTATATAAATAAAAGGTTTGTAAAAAATTGTATAAATTTATGTCTTAAAAGACTTCGTTTCGGAGATACAGGGTGTAGAAATTTTATTTTTATTTCGGTTTTTTTTTCAAATAACTTCTGAACTTAGACTTTAGTTTATATTATACAGGGTGAGTCTTAAATAAGTGAAAATATTTTTAGCGGTAGTATATTTTAGGGGTAGTAAAATATATGAGGTCTTTTTTCCCAATTTTTTTTTGAAAAATTTTCCGAATTTTTTTTAAAAAGCATAATTTTAAATTTTGAATACATAGCTATATACAGGGTGGTCCGAACTGTATGCCGGAAACTTCGAGATCATATTCTGCAAATAAAAAGAAGTAAAAAACTTCTTATAAATATATGTCCTAAAATGCTTAGTTTCGGAGATACAGGGTGTAGAAGTTTCATTTTTATTTCGATTTTTTCCAAATAATTTCTGAAGTAAAGTAAATATTTGGATGAAAATTGGTGTATAATAGTTTTTTGACATGAGAAATTTGATTTTGATGTCATTATGACTATTCTTTGTAGAGGGCGCCAACATGTGCTTTAACTGGTTTGAAGAGTAATAACTTTTTGTCCGTACCTGTATAGAATTGCTGAGTTAAAAAATATACATTTTCGTATTTTTTTACGTAAAAAATGTCTCTTGGTAAAAATTGTTACGAGCAACCCTTCTCGAGATATTTAGAATGGGAATAGTCAATACATGTCATTATTGACAAAAATAAACATGCTGAGTAGATAGTTATTGGACTAAAAAGATAAATTTGGAAAATTTTTATTTTTTTAAATTAATCATAAAATTTTCTTCGAAAAAATGATGATTGGTGATCATTTGGCACAAAAACATTTCAAATTGAATGATTTCCGTCTAACTATTTAGTCAACATGTTTAATTTATATCAATGATGTATCAACAGGTATTGATAATTTCGATTTCAAATATCTCGAGAACTATTACTCTTAGCGATTTATATTAAGAGATCTTTTTTACATTAAAAACTTTGTAAATGTATATTTTTTACTTAGTAGTTTTATACAGGTACGAACTAAAAGTTATTACTCTTCAAACCAATTAAAAATATGTAGGTGGCGCCCTCTACAAGTAGGAGCCATATTGACATCAAAATCGAATTTCTCATATCAAAAAACTCCCAGACACCATATTTCATCCAAATATTGATGTTACTTCAGAAATTATTTGGAAAAAATCGAAATAAAAATGAAACTTCTACACCCTGTATCTCCGAAACTAAGCATTTTATGACATACATTTATAAGAACTTTTTTACTTATTTTTATCTGGATAATACGCTGCTGAAGTTTGCGGAATACAGTTCGGACCACCCTGTATAGGTAATGGATTAAATTTACAAGAAAACCCAGGAAAGATGCAGTAGTTCTCAAAATTTAAGCAAAAAGTTTTTTTTTTGTGGAAAATTTCAAAGTAAAATAACTCGGATATTTTGGACTTAATTGAAAAACGGTAAAGAAAAATTATGTTTCTTTTATTGAGATCTTCCAGCCCTGGAAATATTTGCACTTAATTAAGACTCACCCTGTATATTAGTATTTAGATTTTAGATATTTATTGGTATCTGTATTTGGATGTTTCTTTGACATTAGAAATCTGATTTCGTTGTCAATATGACTCCTACTTATAGGGGACGCCACATATTATGTATATTATATATGTTTCTTAACTGTTTTAGACATTAATAACTTTTCGTCCGTACCTGTATAGAACCATAGAGTGAAAAAATATACATTTCCGTCATTTTCTACCTTAGAAGTTAGTTATCCTGTATACAGAGTGGTCCGAATTGTATTCCGGAAACTTCGGCAGCATATTCTGCAGATAAAAATAAGCAAAAAAGTTTGTATAAATGTATATTTTAAAATGCTTCGTTTTGGAGATACAGGGTATGAAAGTTTCATTTTTATTTCGAATTTTTCTAAATAATTTATGAAGTAACGTCAATATTTGGATGAAAATTAGTGTCTGGGAGTTTTTTGACATGAGAATTGATTTTGATGTCAATATAACTCCTATTTGTAGGGGACGCCATCTACAAATAGAAGTCATATTGACAGTACGGACGAAAAGTTGTTTTCAACCAGTTAAAAAAATATGTAGGTGGCGCCCTCTACAAATAGAAGTCATATTAACTTTGAATTATTTTTATAACAAAATTACATTTCTCATGTCAAAAAACCCAGACAATTATTTTCATCCAAATACTGACGTTAATTCATAAATTATTTGAAAAAAATCAAAATAAAAATAAAACTTCCACACCCCGTATCTCCGAAACGAAGCATTTTAGGACATACATTTATACGAACTTTTTTACTTATTTTTATCCACAGAATACGCTACCTAAGCTTCCCAAATACAATTCGGACCACCCTATACATATAGTGCACTACTTCTAGAGCGCTTCATATCCGGCAACGCCGCATCCTTAGAGCTTAGAGCGGCCGAACCAAGCTTAGAGCGAGCTTCGCCACCACCGCGACTCATATTTTCTCCGATTTCCTCGTTCAGAACATTCGCCGTCGTCCTCGTAGTAGGCGGCGATCGAGAAGCGCCACACCGAAAATCGGCGAAACGCGCGCACCATAAACGCCGTCCGCTTGTTTCGCACCATACACACACACACTAGATTGTTTCACGAAGACAATTGCAAGCGCGGTTGCATCGCACATCAGCCCGTGTTTACGCGAGTCGGAGTTGTTTTCGTTCTTCAGTTTTTCGCGAGTTATTTGTGGTTATTTTCTTTCTCTGGTTATTCATCTGGATGAAATAAACTATTGGAGTTCAGAAACGTGAGTATTTGTTTGTTTGTTTTTTAAGAGACCTACCTCAAAAGGATAAAAAGGAACCCTTATAGTCAAGACACTTTATCTCAGGAACGCGTGGAGGCATTGTTAAGGCAGTCTCTTAAAGCTGTGAAAAAAATCAAACTTCTTAGTTAACGCAAAAAAAAAGATACGGCCGTTTAGGCCGCAAGAAAAATATATTTCGACGCTCTCAAGGGAATCAAAATTTATAAGAGTTTTTCCATTGACCTACAACTATGAAATTTTGCAAGTAATTTCGTCTTATTCTGCTAAGAGTAGGGAAAAATCTGAAAACTATACATTTCTAAGTAAATCATAAAAAAATATCGGTGTCCGTTTTTTTTTTGTATATCAATAATTGCACATTATTTAAGATGACTGGAATTGGGGGATGACAGTATTGATTTTGCAATTATCGGTAACCAATCAAACGGGGGGGTATTTTTCCCGTTCTTGCGTGTGTGTGTGCGAGGGGGAAAAGGTCGAGGGGCAAGGGGGGATACGGGGGAGAGAGAAAAAAAGCGGTCTTTTCGGTGCGTTCGGCTCTCCGCTCTATTTTTGCGCATATCCCGAATTTTTGCCATTGCGCGCCATTGTCCACTTACTAATTTTTAGTGCTGTATTGATTTTATTTATTTTAACGCGCTGGCGGGGCGGTCGGAAGATGGGAAACGAAGAAGGAATGGAAAACTCTTTGAGTTTCCGCGTTTCTTGGTGGAAAACGGTCGGGGATGTACCAGAGGCGACAAAAACAAAGCTTTTTTAATTTTCTTTTTGAATTATATTTCTTTTTTTTAATTATTATTAAAGTAATAATGTTTTTATGTAGTGTCTTATTTTTATTGCAAGGTGTTATGTTTATTTTACTTTAAATATCTAACTCCGATTTCCCAATTTGAAGAAAAAGAAATAGAAATTAAAGAAGAAAATGTTCTGATTTAAAAAAAACATCTTAGAAAATGTTTTAGTTTTATCCAAGATGTGTTTAAATATGGCTTAAACCTGTTTAAAACTATGTTTTCAAAATGTTTAGTATTTAGGTATTTTTGCAATAAATAATAAGAGAAGGGTTTGCCGAATCCCGATATTAAGTCCCGGATCCTAAAAATCTCGAAAAAATTTAAAGCTCAATATAAAAAGATTAGAGTTTATACACTTTGGTCTTTCTAAAATCATATTTTATATTTATAATAAGCCAGATTGTCGACATCTAAAAGTTATATTTCCTTGTTTGCTATATTTTGTTTTTTTTTGCTACAAGACTTGTATTATAAAAAATGTCTATACCTATGTGGCGGATTCATCTATCAAAAAAAATCCTTATGGGTTTTTCGCCACTGCACTGCAAGAAAAATCTACAAAATAAAATAGTTATTTTTTGTAAACACTTCTGCGTTAAACCTAAACGGACGCTGCTTGTCAGAAGTTGTGTTTACAATAATAAAAATTTGCCTAACAAAGAAAAAAATGCTTAACGTTTCGAAAGTTTTCTTTCCGTCGTCGGAAGCAAAAAAAAATATAAAGAATCAAGAAAAAAACTATTTAAAATATTTAAATTGAACTATTCGAGAACACTTTACTTTTTAAAACAGATACGCCTACAAGAAATCGTTGACGTTCTGTTAAAATGACATTATATTAAGTTAAACTTCAAAATTAACAATTACTACCTGATAATTACTTAATAAGGTAAAACCAAAAAGTCCAAACTTTCTGTATGATTAATTTTACGTATGTTATGTTTATTTATGTAATGTTCTTTAAAATCAAAGAAGCGATTGCCATACATTACTAACATCTACAGATGCATGAGCAATACATTTATTTTTATTAGATTGAATTAAAAAAGCCTCTTTTATTTTTCTTTTAGAGGCTATCGCTTCTTTCATTATAATTTTGGCGTTATTAAAATTTATTCTGTGCCCTGTGTCCCATGAATGCTGACAAATCTTAGATTTGTGAAAATCTCCCTTTCTTAAATAATCTTTATGTTCTTTAATTCTAACATTTAAAGGTCTAGATGTTTCACCAATGCAAAATTTATCGCATTCACAGGGTATTTGGTATATTAAAAATGTAATATACCAAATACCCTGTGAATGTGTCCTTTTTTACTGTAAACACAACTTCTGACAAACAGCGTCCGTTTAGGTTTAACGCCCAGAAGTGTTTACAAAAAATAACTATTTTATTTTGTAGATTTTTCTTGCAGTGCAGTGGCGAAAAACCCATAAGGATTTTTTTGGAAAGACTTGTATTTTTTTACTTATTAAATATGAATGTTACTTTGTTTTGTCTGTTTTAATAAAACCTTTTCTTTTTTTTTTTTCATTTTTCTATTGAGTATTTTTTTAGATCAGATTTCTTATTTTGAGGGTTAATCCCGGGATTATAGATTCTTATCCCGGGATTTAAAAACGGAATCCCGATCCCGAAAATCGGAAACGCTAGTCGCTACCCCATCTCGGAGAATTACAATTATTAAGTCCACTGAAATAATCGAAATTTAGTTTTGCGGCCTTATCGTTACACAACTTTCTTCTTAATTGATTGCCATCTATGTAGTTTAAAACCAGTGTTTAAAACAAGTGGTTTAAACAAGTTTTCAACATAAGCCAACTTTAGAGTTAACACCGTGTTTCAAACAATAAAAAGTGTTTTGAACCTGTTGTGAAAACTGTTTAAAAATAAAAAGAACATGTTTTTACAACCCTTTTTTTAGCCGACCATACCGTATGGTATGGTAGGCTATTAAGATCAGCAAAAAAAGGTTTTTTTAATTTCACCCAAAATGAGTTATTTGGATCATAAACGACCTAAAGACAAAATATTTTCATGGTGTCTGTCTGTCTGTCTGTCCGTCTGTCTGTAATACGATAACTCAAAAACCGCTAAATAAAAGAACTGCCTACCAACTTTTTATTAACATATTTTAGTATGGGCGGCTATGCGTGCCTCTCGGCGCCAATTTTTCTTTTTATTTTTTAATTATTGTAGTGAGATTATGTTTTTACAAAATGTTTTTATTCCTATAACAAGGTGATTTATTCTTCTTACAGTTAGAAACCTATATTTTATTCGTGAATATTTTTTTTTCATTTAGAGAAATTAAAAAAGAAAATGTTGAGGATTAGTTAACTAAACAAAAATTGATGTACCTATACCGAGCGACTAAATAAACTTATTGCCATGCGTGTCAATATTCTTAATTCTTTCATGCTTTTATTATTTAATGCGCTTTATTCTTTTCCTTTTTATTTTATATTTTTTTATTTTTTTTTCAAGTACATATTATTCCGTGTACTTATAAAACTCTTATGACACACATCACAAGTACATGCGAGAGGTAACCTACCCTCTGTATAGAGTATGGTACTCTAAGAAAATTCTTCCAAAATTAAGGGATAGTAAAAGGATAATTTTTCTAACTTTATTCATGTTTTTTTCAAGAGGTTGTGTTTTATAAGAACTGTTCAAGAGAGAATCCATATAGAAACATATTTAGGGGTTAATGAAATAAATTATCGGTATATTCTTAATTTTAAGAAATATAGGGAGAAACTAAATACACTTGTTTTAGTTTCTTGTCAATAATTTTAATAGTTTTATTATTTGATTATTTTTTTTATTTTATGCTCCGTTTTTTTTATTTTTTGTATTCTCTCTCAAGTACTTACTATAGGTACTTATTAAGTGACACTTGACTGATTAACTGACACATTTAATCCTATATTAGAGAGGCTTATTTTTATATCATTTTTATAAAATATGCTAATATTTAGGAATGTGAACAGTTTTATTAATTACATTCATTCTATTCATTCTCTTTTTTTTGTTCCTTTTTTATATTGCAATTTGCATGGATCTGTTGCAAGACGATCTTAACATCAATTACCACATGAAATAAAATAATTATTCTTAGTATTATCTTATTTTATAGTGCCTGATATTTTTATTTTAACCTTATATTTTATAATTTTTTAGTTGATTAATTCTTGTCATACCTCTCTATTTTATCATTTTTTAATTGATTAATTCGATATTTTGATTCTTCTAAATAACAATTAAATATGTTTTACTTTTAGCTTAAACCAATGAATCCTTTAAATTTTCAATATTTTGTTTAATGTTATTAATAATAAAATATTTTGATTATTTTTTATTATTTTTGTTGGTAAGCAAATAATAGAGTGAATGCTTGGAAATTAATGTTCCATGCTTCTTGTAATTTACAAAAATATTTAAATAACTTATTTTTATCTTTCGAGATTTTTTGTACATTTTTTTCCTCATTATTTTTGAGAGAGTACAGTTTTATATTAGTTGTTTTTATTTACAATATATAAATTCTTTATTTAAGCTGGGGAATTGGATAATAAATAAATAAGAGACATAGCTACTTTCCTACCATATATGTAATAATTATTTTTCAAAAATTCTTTACCGATTATTTTAATTAAATCTCTAAAACAATATTATAAGTAGGTATAGGAAATCGCCGAAAATATTTTTGTAGGCTGCCAGTATATAAAAATAAATTAATTCCAAACTAACCTAAATATTATTCTAGTAGAAAAATACATGGTAAAGTTGTTTATCCACTTTTGATTGAACGTATATTCAACACAGACCTCATTTTAGATATTAAAATAATAGGTATGCCACCTTACTGATTTTTATCTAATATATTTTAAATATTAAGAAACATAATTTATTTTGTTATCAAATAAAAATGTCTCAATTTTTGTTAAGTAAAATACCTGGGTCTAAAGACAAATTAAGTAACCAATATCACTAAATTTTCACACATGATACAATGATACATGTTATCCAGTTCAAACTATAATAGTATTGCAATAATGCAATATTTTCTATACTGAATAACATTTTATTTATTGTTGTTAACCGTTTCGGAATTTTGCTACGGTTGGCAACGCTGTCAACAGTGCCAAAGTCAAAACGCGGCGTCGCGTCGGGCTTGCGTC